TTCAAACCTTTTAAACTCTGCCCTGGGAGTCAGAAGGTCTTCATTTAGAAGAACTATGACGCCTCATGATGAAAGCCGAGTTCATTCGGAAGTCACGAGGCCGATACCCCTTCTGACAACCAGAGCAACCATTTATTCAGGTACATGGAATGTTCGTACAATTGGGACACTAGGAGAGCCTTCCAAATCGCTGCAGAAATGAGAAGATACAACCTAGAGGTACTTGGGATCAGTGAAACACATTGGACACAAGTTGGACAACAACGACTAACTACAGGAGAGCTCCTGTTATACTCCGGCCATGAAGAAGAAAATGCTCCACATACACAAGGAGTTGCATTGATGCTGTCCAAACAAGCGCAAAATGCACTTATAGGATCGGAATCTCATGGACCAAGGATCATCAAAGCCTCCTTCAAAATAAAGAAAGAGGGCACTACAATTAACGTCATCCGATGCTATGCACCTACCAACGAGTACAATGAAGACGCTAAAGATCAATTCTACGATAGGCTGCAGTCAATTGTCGAGAAGTGCCTAACAAAGGACCTGACCATTCTGATGGGAGATTTAAATGCCAAGGTTGGAATGGACAACATCGGATATGAAGACCTCATGGGACGACACGAACTGGGAGAAAGGAACGAAAATGGTGAGAGACTTGCAAACCTATGTGCCTTCAATAAACTGGTCATAGGCGGAACTATATTCTCACATAAACGCATTCACAAAATCACATGGACTTCACCGGATCACACTACACAGAACCAAGTCGATCATATCTGCTTCAACAAAAAGATCAGGAGGACGATGGAAGAATTGAGAACCAAGAGAAGAGCTGATATAGCATCGAACTATCACTTGCTGGTCGCCAAGATGAAATTAAAACTCAAGATGTACTGGACAGGATGGTGACAAACTCAACAAATTCAGGATAGTCCTCAGCAATAAGTTCCAGGCCTTTCATGATCTACTCAATGGAGAAGGAACTGCTATGGAGAGCAACTGTAAGGAGATCAAAGAGGTAATCACTTCAACATGCCATGAGGTTCTGGGCGACAAGAAGCACCAAGAGTGTTAACAGTAAAAACCCTAGGTGTCTGTCCGCGAGTAAAACCAAGGGTAACAAAATACAGTTAGGATAGAAATGGTATATTAAACAAACAGATAATAACAGTTATTATGGAATGAATGTTACTTGTAAGCTGCCTCGTGAGATAAAAACCACAAATTGAGTTCACTTGATTGACGAAGACTCCTTTGCAAGTAATTGCACCAACGGCGTAATGAGGAAGACAAAGTTCATTAGTATTATATAATAATAATCCGTGCCAAAAGTCCAACGTAGTGTCGTAAGGCCATGCAACAAATCACAAGAGTAAAACCGTGACGGTATTTATTTTGTCTTTACAAAAATCACTGAATATACGTCACCATGAGATTTATGATTATGTTATTGCTTTCATATTCATTATTGATAAGTCATTTTTCATATGGAATGTAATCAATCTAGAATAGAAGTACTTGTCATATGGAATGTTAATTTGAATAACTTTATAGTACAATCAGTGATAAATTGACTATAAAATAATGTAGAACATTGTAAATGGTAATATAAATATAAAAGTGTCTGAAAATATAATACTTATATTTAAAACAAATTAGATAAATGGATAAAATAGACCGTTTATTTGTTTAACGGTTACTTACAGTCAGTATCTCGTACTTGAGGTATGCAAATGGATCATAATCTATGGTTGAAAATCTTTTATACTATTGAACACAAAGTTCTTTAGAGCTATAAATCTTTAAACAATTTCAGAGTTGGTGAAATAACGTAAAACCCTAGACAACTTAGTTTTACATCGTGAACGTATTCCAAAATCATAAAACTATTTACTGGATGTTGAATTACTTATTGTGTTTCATTTGCTTTAATGATGGCTGATAATAAGTCGTCATTTTTGTGGAGTAGATTTCCTATTTGTAACAAATTGGTTTCCACTCGTATTGTGGTGTGTGCTACTTATACTGACATAAGTAGTATATGACGTTACTTGTGAACAGAATGTCTGGAAGCAGAGAGACAAGAGGATCGAACAGTAAATAATGGGAACAGAATGCAATTTGTGTGAAAAGGCAAGAACAATGAAGTCTGAGTCATTATGAAACAATTGATGGACATTTTGCAAATCAAGTATTTACTATTTGACTGTTAGATTTTACTAACAAGTCCTGTAATTTCGAGTCAAATGTGTTCGATTGTCCCCACTGGTGTTCTTGTTCACTACAGTATATGTGATCATGTTATTCCAATAAGATTGCATCTCTCTTTTAAGTGTACTTGGAAAGCAGGGTAACCAGAAAACCAGATTAGGATAGACCACTATAGAAAGTGATCGAACGATGCAACTTAAATGTAAAACTACATAAGTTATACAGTTATATCATTTTAGTTAACTGATGAACTGAAGCTATTTATCGAATAATATCATTAGGCAAATCATATTGAATATATTCTTAATCTACACATTCTTTGAATGGCTTCACATTCTTAAACATATTGATTTTCTTCAATGTTAGCACCGCTAGTGTTACTCTTTTGTATTTTAACATCATGACAACACACTATGTAGTGATACTGTGGTGTGAGCTACTTATATCTACATAAGTAGTATATAACAATACTCAGTCATCGAATGTATTTCAGTAGAAGATCGAGAAGGAAAGAAAGGAAACTGAAGGTAATTGGTATGAAAATGCAGGAATAATGAAATCTGAAATGATGGACTGATATGTACAAAAGAAACAGTCAAGTTTAAGACAATTAATTGATATTTTGCATGTTAACTATTTACGGTATAGTTCTCAGATTTTAGTAAGATGTTCTGTAATTTTGTGCATAAATACATTCACTTGTCCACATTCGTATTCTTATTCACTACAATACTACTTACAAAAGTCTCTGGATTGAAATACTCCTATACAATCAATTGTTTTCTTTATGTCTTCCTAGGTAGTAATGAAGTGCTTATCTCAGATTCATATTACTTATACACTTAAATTTTGTCTAAAATTTGACATCGAACGTAGGTAAACTAATATTTTGTTGAAAGAAAACTGTAAAGGGATATCAGATCGGAGAACCTTAACACATGATAAACAATTTTATCATGATAGGGAATATGGACTATATTCAATCTGAAATATTTTATGATCTATGTAAATAGGCAATAAAATGTAATGTCACTTGGTATTGTTTTACTTGGATCTTCGCACTGATGTTTATGACTGCATAATTGATCAGTCACTTATTGGCATATGTGCATCCTGTGAGGATTGCCTCGATATTGCCGTAGTTCACAAGCATTCTAAACAAAGATGGATGGTGGCTAGTAGTGGAATGAGGAATGCGCGTTTTGTTCCATTTGGGTGTCATCAGCTGGATGTATCTGTATCCTACAGTTGATATTCACTCCACGACTCGAACACAATACCGTTCGCTTCAAACGCCATTGTGTTATCTAATCAGCTACTGAGTCTTGTTTTAATTTTGAAAAGAAATACGAGATCTATCCTAATTCATTGGCATGATCAGGTTGATACAGAAAGGAATGTGACATGTTACGAACAGAAATGTTTGTGATATAAGATAATATCTAGGCGATCCTCACAGGATGCACATATGCCAATAAGTGACTGATCAATTGTGCATTCCTAAACATTAATGTGGAAATTTGAACAAACAATGCAGAAATGAATTAGAAACGGAAGGATAAATTATAAGCAAAGATGGATAGTGGCTAGCAGTGGAATCCAGGACGCGCGTCCTGGATTCCACTGCTAGCCACTATCCATCTTTGCTTATAATGCTTGTAAATTAAGGCAATATTGAGGCATACGCACAGTATGCACATATGCCAATAAGAGACTGATCAATTTCAGTCCAAAAACATCAATGGGAACATTCAAGTAAAACAATATCAAGTGGAAGGATAAATTGTTTAAAAAGATGTGATACACAAATTGTTTTGAAAGGAAATTTGTCACTAGAACTATAATCACACGGAGCATCAGTCAGAAACTAATGAATTAAAGTAAAAGGGCTAGGAAATCCTATTGAGAAATGAATAATGTAGAGAAGCGAGATTACAATGACATGATAGGATAATTTATTGACTTTCATCAATAGCATTTCTGGATAACCAATACTCTATAGTTATATTCTATTGGACGCTGAATGTATCCGATAACATTCACGGTTGAGATTTTATTTGTGAAATTATGCATAAACAAGACAATTCGCTTCATCACTTAGATGGAAGAAATGTTTCAAATGATGAAACCAGCATAGGCCATTGAAATACCGAAGGTGATATCAACAGTCTTATAGTCTACACATGTTTTCCTATGTAATTAGGTTCATCAATAACCTACAAATCAAGAGATGCCCATCATATTTATTGGATCGAATTAAAATATAAACATCCAGTTAGATTGAAAATAGAAATAATCATTTTAGTTTCATAAAAAATGGTTCGCTATTGACTGATAAATTATGAAGTAGTCAGTAAAACAAATCTTAGAAACTAAATAAATTAGTCAGGGTTAATTGAGTTATTTCATCCAATCATCGTTTACTTGTGAAGGTCACTTCTAGAAACTTCAACGAACAATATAGACAGTAAATTGAATAAGGAATTAATTAAAACTGATAATAAATACCACTACTACTACTACTACTACGACGACGACGACGATTACCACTACATCTCTTTCAAGTAAGTTTTATATTCGAATAACATTAGATATGTACAAGCAACTAGCCAATCATTTATTACAGATTAGGTGTATAGATATCAACAAGACGTGTTTATATTTATATATACATACATAAAGTTTAACAATGGATTCGTTGAATTACATTAATTCAACTCTGTATTATCATTGTAATACTGCATATATTTGAATAGTCATTTATTATTAAAACAAAGTTGAAAATGCTTATGAAAATCAAAAATGTATGTAAGTAGACTTTAACATTATTGTCATTAATGATTGTTCGCTTTCATTGAGATTAAAAAGAAAAATTGGATTTTATAATTGATATTTAATTTAATAGTTGAATTCATGAGTTGATTGAAGCTGGACTACTATGGAAAACCTGGAAGCACTGGACGACTGATTCGTCTTAGTATGAGATTCGTCAGCAGTGCGTATCCATGATCCCGCACTTAGGATACGAACCTAGGACCTTCGGTTTCATGCGCAATCGCTTGACCTCTAGACTACTGAGCCGGTGCGCAGAATCGTGGATGTGTACTACTGACGAGTCCCATACTAAGACGAAACGGCCGTGCAGTGCTTCCAGGTTTTCCATAGTAGTCTAGGTTTAATCGACTCATGAAATCAACTATAAAATTACTACAATCTCCACAAAACTCCCAGTTGATGATACTTAATTATTAAGAATATTAATAATCAACCGATTTATCAAAACAAATGAAGCAGTTAGGTGTCTTACGATTATTCGGAATACTTGCTTTACTGGAAAAGTTAAAGAAACATAGTCTTCAACATCCGTACGTTATATTTAAGCCAACGAATTAAGATCAATAAATAACGTCATTACGCCTATTACTCCTCGTGGAGAAGCATAGGCCGCCCACCGCACTTTCTATCTAACCCTGTCCTGGGCAATCATTTCCAGATCTTTCCATTTGTTATTTATGTTTTTCATATCTGCTTCTATTTCCCGACGTAATGTGTTCTTTGGCCTTCCTCTTTTCTACTTCCCTTCAGAATTCAATGTTAGAGTTTGCCTCGTAATGCAGTTTGATGATTTCCAAAATGTATGTTCTATCCACTTCCAATATCTTTTCTTAATTTCCTCTTCATCTGGAAGCTGGTTTGTTCTCTCCTACAGATGGCTGTTGGTGATGATATCCAGTTAACGAATATTGAGTATCTTGCGTAGTCAATTATTAATAAATACTCCTACCTTTTTGATGATGGACGTAGTGGTTCTCCAAGTTTCAGCTTCGTATAGTAGAACTGTCTTGACGTTCGTATTGATGATTCTGACTTTGATATTGGTTGAGAGTTGTTTTAAGTTCCATATGTTCTTCATCATCAAGAAATACTGTCACTAAATCTAACTGGTCTACAAAACTAGAAGAAATCTCAACTGTTGATGTGAAATTCAAAGTGTATCAGTAGTAAATCGCCAGTTGACTCGAATGTTCAAACTTGAAAATAAATATTGAGATAGAATAATGTTTAAAGTTTCAGTCAAAGGTTTTCGTAGCGGAAATGTTTGTTTATCGCTGACGTTTAACTAACATATTTATAAACTAGTCATATACACTTATATGATTATATTCGTATTCTTGATACAACTGTATTATATATGACTGAAATGCGAGTCATGATTGAAATATAAAATAAGACCTGCGTAGAGAACACATTTAAATCAGCGATCTCTATAACTAATGACTTGTTTCACTATGGACCAAAATAAAAAGTCAAACATGTAATCAGCTATTAATTAACACTGAATTTAATCTAATTGTGATCAGTCTGTGATATAAACTACATATAAGTCAATGTGTTCGCTTGTAACGATTCCCTACTTTATGAAATTAAACAACACAACAGTGACATTAAAACTTGATTAGATATATCGTTGTGGCCAACATTATGTTCATTTTCTAACTATTTTAAACCAACAAAACTTAAAATTATCTTGTTGGATATCGTTAAGTTACATTCATTTCTGTTAGAAAGACAAAGTTGTTTACCCTAAATGACGACACACACTTTTCTGTCATCATTGAACTACAATAGAATAGAATGATAAACTGAAAAACTATCATTTTTAACAGCCCTATTTACTAATTAAGCTCTAATATAATATGAAATAAAAGCTTTCTCTCGAATGATAATTCAATAAATGATTTTATGAGGAAAAATATTCTTAGTTGATTGGTTGAAGTTAGATATTAACACCGTTGGATGCCGACTCAATGATTTAGAGGTTAAAATTTCAGCCGCAAGATCGAAAGTTTTGGGTTCGAATCCCGCGCTCAAGATCGTGGATACTCACTACTGACGAAATGGTCTTCCAATGCTTCCAGGTTTTCCATGATAGTCTAGCTTCAATTGACTCATGAATTCATCTACTGAATTACTATAATATCCACAAAACCCCTTTCTGAAATTTATTGACTTAAAAAAAGCTACTTTCATCATGTAAAACTTCATTCAACTTTTGTTAATAAATTAAAATGTTTATAAATTTATGCATGGAAACACTATAATGGTATTACTGAATTCTATACATTAAATGGGATTTTATTATCATTCAAGTTTCCAGTAAATTTTATAAATTCTGTAGTGGTAATATGATATAATCATAAGTTATGTCATGAAGTTTCAGCTTCAGTTTGGATACGACAGGAGGCTTGATGATCTGTGTTAGTCTTGAAGGGATACTGAATCCTATGTAAATAGTTATCTGTAATAATACTATTGAACTGTAAAAGTAGTTGAACATTGTGCTCTTTAATCGATTAGATTTTTCTAATCATTTCATAATGATATAAATCTTGAACTATCACATTTATAACTAATAGATTTATAGTAACCCCATCTTATATATCCTTGGAAGTTTTATTAAACTATTAACTGGCGAGAAGTCATGTATTATACTAAGCATCGTTACATTTAGCTTTGAACACTTGATTGAATAGTTGAGTATTGTACTGTGTTTCCGTATGTCATTCTGAATAAATATGTACACATATTCTGTCGGTTTCGAATAGTCTGATGTTGTGTTCTCTTTGCTGTTATCTTTTCAGCTCCTATTGTTTTCTGAAATAAACGTTTCTATAATCTCTTACAAGTGAAACACGATTTTACAATGTTTAATTCAGAGTAAAAGGAGTATTCGGGTAGTTAAACATTGCGAGATGACATAGAACGACAGCTTTGAATTAGACAAAAATTTAAATGCTCATTTCAACACGTATAATTAGGAAAATATTACCCGGTAAATTTCAGCTTGCAGAAATCGTTTATCTTTTATCTAAATTATAAACAAAATATACTGATGAAATTAGTTTACGGGCTAAAGCTTGTTGATATCATAGTTGTATGACAAAACTTAAACCAAACTTTAGAAGAGATTCGGTCTTAGCAGCAAAGTTTACATTATTGGCCGAATTTCTAAATCATATTTTGTTAAAATGGGATTACATCTCAATAAATACATGCACAAGTGTCCTGAAAAAAATCAGTGTGCAAGATTTATAGGGATTGTTTGGCTTCATAATTTACAACACCGACTCACCTAAGTTAGACGACTGCATAATGTCACGAATTGTTTGAAGTTGTATACTGCAGAGCGCTGGATGTCAATTTAGTGGTTCAAGGGTTAACAACCTGCCACCAAACCTGAATATCACAGATTCGGTCTCTAGTGGGATCGTTAGTACTCAATGGTGAGGGGTCTTATACTGACTAAAAACTATCCATAGCTTCCTGGTTTTTGATAGCTGTATTGTTCCGGCTTATGCTCTGTCAAATATCACGTGACAAAACGCCCAATCTGAACACCGAATCCCGTGACCATGTCCCTGGTCTAAACTAGTGATGCATTAGCTAGCATGAGCAGTCTTGAGTTAACTGTGAGTCCTTATTGGAATCCGTTGAGTTACTTCTCGTCTGATCCAGCCGCTTCAGTCCAATTCATAAATATCAGCCTCTGCTGTGTGAATCGTATATTTCAGACACACGTGGTTTATATACATGCAGACTAGACCGCATCACACCATAAAATGAAAAACAATAATTATACAAGACTAGGCCAAAAGTGGCTATGGGTGCAGGAGATTGTAACAAATAGATTGGGAATAAATTAAGAATATTAAATCATACAACAATAGTCAATAGGTCAAATGAAAGCTTATGATAGCAGGAATATATATATATATATAATTTAGTTACTGAACGAGAATATACATAATAATAATCCACAAAAAATTCTTAGCAGTTACCATTCATTTGTCATTCGACCGGATATGACATGGATAACTAATGACAGTTTGTCATTTAAACTATAAAAGTTAGTATGGTTGTAGATATAATTTTTTAACTTCGTATACTGCTCGTCCTGATAACCGTTACCAGATAAAATCAATGGGACAATTCAACTAAACAATACAAAATGAATTTAAGCTTCACCATATTACACAAGCTAGTGGTTATAAGAATTCACTAACTGAGTGGATAACACGATAGCGTTTGAAGCGCATAATATTGGGTTTGAGTTACAGAGTGGACATCAACTCTGACATGTAGATACATCCAGCTGATGAATTCCAAATAGAACAAAACGCTCATCCTTCATTCTACTACTAAGCATCATCCTTCCCTACTTATAAAATTGAAAAATATTTATGATTTCATAATCATTTTTACTAAATAAAATGACATTTGAAATTTCGACTTAATTTACATGGAATACAACTTGATTAACATCTTAAATACAAATGAGCGATTTTTCACATTGAAGCATTTGATTACTTTAACTCATTTAGACTGACAGGTCCTGGAATCGAATCTCGCGGGGGGCCGGGATAGTGGACGCGCACTACTGACGAATCCCATACTAGGAAGAAACGGCCTTCCAGTGCTTCTAGGTTTTCTATGATGGTCTAGCTTCAATTGACTCATGATTTTAACTATTGAAATTACTAAAATCTCCACACAATCCCTTCTGACAAAAATTATAAATTCAATATCTAGAAATTAGATTAAATTCACTCAATATTTCATTCATTCTATACAATTTACTAACCTAAGAATGTATAAAATATAATTCAATTGTAAACATTTAATCATAATGTAAACAAGTTCACCTAAATCCTTATTACATTTTAAATGTTTATAAATTAGAATAATTTTTAGAAGGTTCTGTTAATAGACAAACCCTTTACACCTTAATAATCATCTTTGTTGTGTATGATGATAATCAGTGTAATCTGTTCCGACGTGCGATGATTTATGATGTAGGAGTAGGTTAGAAGAAAGCTAGGGGCAGCCAGACCAAAACATAACACAAATCCACGAAGTCACTGACAAGTGGACTGAGTCATGTTGATAGGTGTAGACTACCTGGTTAGGGACCGTGAGATGATAGCAACCAATGGTTAGAGACCCTGAATGACATGGCTCAAAATCTTTTGCAATGGCTCAGGTGCATCCACTCTTTGTGTTCTCCCAAATTTTAATCTTTTGAATCCTTCATGTTCCATTTTTCTCGTTCCAAACTTATTTCACTGGATTATACTCCCAGAATAACATCTTCAAACCCTTATGTTTCCGATAACTGCTTATACTCTTATTACCTCTACCACTACGGGATTTGAATCGACAACAGCATCTCTGTGGTAATGTGGTGTGGCAACTCAAACTGATGTACGTACGAAGTTCTTTGTTGTTACCGACTGACTGACTGAGTGTAATTTGTCAATAAATTGCATAATAAATTTATATGTAATGTATTACAAAGCAATTGCATAATATGACACATGGTATTATTAAAACTTATGGCTAACCCTTAAAATTGGGAACTAGTTTGATAACTTTCAGTGTTATTCACCTCATGACAGTGTTGATCAACATTAGTACATTCTAATCAATAGCATAGTCCTTGACTTCTCAGACACTTGTTATTGCTAAGAGAACAGCCACATTGCGAGTGCAGATCTTAAGATATAAATTAAGACTGACAATTACTACTAAATACTAGTTAGCAACATGATCTCCTTGTGATTCCCTTTGAGTAGTAGTAGTAGTAGTATTAGGTGTTACGGCTAATTATATTCAAGTTGTTAGTTTTTGCCTTTGTATACTAAAATTCTTTTACATATTTTCCTCAGCATATAACGAGAGTTATATAGTATTGCATTCATGAGTTTTGGTTCCTCTTTTCTGGAATAATAAATTTACTTAACTGATGAGCAACTGGTAAGCGTTTTTTTAGCGAGTTAGTTTTCTACGGGATGGGGACGCTAACCCCATGCCCAACCCTCCTCCTTTACCCGGGCTTGGGACCGGCAGTAACTCTAGAAGAGCTACAGGCGGAGTTGTAGAATCCTTCACATATCTGGGAAGCATCGTCGATAGACATGGAGGTTCAGATGCAGACGTAAAGGCGAGGATTGGCAAAGCAAGGGCCGCATTCCTACAATTGAAGAACATATGGAACTCAAAACAACTTTCAACCAATATCAAAGTGAGAATCTTCAATACGAACGTCAAGGCAATTCTACTGTATGGAGCTGAAACTTGGAGAACTACAAAAACCACAATCAAGAAAGTACAAGTATTTATAAATAGCTGTCTACGCAAGATACTCAACATCCATTGGCCGGATACCATCAGCAATAGCCTTCTGTGGGAGAGAACAAACCAACTTCCAGCTGAAGAGGAAATTAGGAAAAGACGATGGAAATGGATAGGACATACATTACGCAAATCGTCAAACTGCATCACGAGGCAAGCCCTAACTTGGAATCCTGAAGGGAAGTAGAAAAGAGGAAGGCCAAAGAACACATTACGTCGGGAAATAGAAGCAGATATGAAAAGGATGAATTACAACTGGAAGGAGCTGGAAAGTATTGCCCAGGACAGGGTTGGATGGAGAATGCTGGTGAGCGACCTATGCTCCTTCACGAGGAGTAACAGGTGTAAGTAAGTAAGTAAGATGAGCAACTGAGTATATTCGCCAAGCTACTGTTTTATTGAAACAAAGTCAGAAGGAAAATATTAGCTGGATACTTTTAATTCGTTGTAATTCATTGTTTTCTCTTCATATACATATAAGCTAATGAGTTTGGTTACTTCACGTTAACATTGCCTAATAAATGAAGTGTTAATCAATCATATGGTCTAATTATACTGGAGAGGTATATCAGTTATTTCATTGAGAAAACGTGAGCCAGATTGCCAGTCGAAACGTTGGGTTTACTTCAAATTCATTCACTGAGATTTTGCAAATATATTATTCCTCTTTAATGTCTAACGATTATTAACTTTAAGATGATGGTTAGAGGTAGTCAACAAGAAACCCTGGACCCGGGTTTCGTGCTACTTGGCACTCGTCATCAAGATGTACCTGTAATCTTGAGGGAACTGGTGCTCCCTGACGGAATAGAGCCCTTGTCACCCAGCTTCACAATCAGAGACGTAAGCACTGGGCTATCCGGTCAGCGACCGACCTCCTGTAGGACTGAGATGTAATCACAATTGATTGATCACTGTGTGGTGAATAATGCCATGTGTGTCAAGTCCTTCTTAGTACAGATTGACTACCTCCAACCACCACCTTATCTCAAAATAGTGCACGCAATGTCGAGTCACCTAGACTGATGGCCACATTGCAACTTGGTCGATAGCATTCGATCTGCACTAAGAAGGACTTTACGCACATGATACTGATCACCATCGAGTGATCAATCAATTGTGATTATTAACTTTGAATAAACACTAACCATTAAACTATCACACACTATTAATTCTAATTTCAACACCAGTACAAATTGATATAAAGCTAGATACATTAAAATGATTGAAATACAAGTTAGCATATTAAGGCAATTCACAATTGATGTCCGTTTATGCATAATGAATTTTGTTTTTCATGAATTATTTGAACTGTTTATGAATTATACAATCGTGGATCGCGGATATGCAATGCCACTGAAGAGTCCCACAATAGGACGAAACATCCGTCTAGTGCTTCTAAGTTTTCCATGATGGTCTAGCGTCAATTAACTAATGATTTCAACTATTAAAATATATAATCCTTGTTAATAATTGGTAAAGTTGAATGTTTGTTCATAACTTCAAATGGTATGTTAACAAGATATATGCGAAAAGAAATCAGTTAAAATTGGTTATAGTGATCTCTAATATAAAAGTATTATAAATTTTCCAATACTTTGACTAAAGAAAACTAAGTCTGTCAACTAGAATATGTGATATTAAGCTAATTACATCGTTCAGTGGTACATGTGACTGGTTAATACTACTTTCATATTTAGAGATTACGAATGCGGATGCTGACTGTATACTTTCAAGTGAAAAAGTGGTTGCTTTCATGGTTAGATGTATAACATATTTACTCAAATATAAGAAATAGAATCAAGTTATGTATGATCTATGAATGGATTAAAGTCAGTTCACTATGAGAAATCTTTACAATTCACCGAACTAAACTAAACTGTTCTTTGACTAATATGTAAATTAAGAACAGATCTCTGAATGATAAATAAGAACTTACATCTAAATTTGATCGAATAGTTTCACAGTATTTGGGTGCCGAGTTAATGTGAGACATTAAAGAAGAAAAGCTTGGACCAAATTGTCAGGTGAAACGTTGGATTTACTTCAAATTCTTTCGCTGAGAATTTACAAATACATTCTTTCTCTTTAAGATCTCTTAACGTTTTAATGGGAATCTGCAAACTATATAATGCAGTAAGTTTGGAATGAGATAGTTTTCATTGACAATGATTGCGCTGTATTGGATATACGATGTAAATCATCTGATGGTTAGAAGTAATCGATGAGAAATCTTACTTGACCTTGGTTCGCTACAAAGGTACACCTCAAATTTCAAGAGAAACGATAACTCCTGGGGGGGTTCGGACCCCAGACACACAGCTTTACACTCTGAGATGTTATTAGTGAGTTATTTGGGCTGCAACTGACCTCTTGTTGGACTACGATATCTATAGTTTTTTTTAGTTGATGAAACTGGAAGTGGGTTTTACTGTCAGGTGCTAAATGGCATGAGACGTAGATTCAGGGTTTTATATCGACTACCTCCAACCATTTAACATCTAAACACGGCACACATTGTATCAAGTCACTTAGACGAATGACCTCATTACAGCTTGATTACTAGAATTCAACCAACACTAGAAGGCTAAAGTAACGCTGACTTTGGATAGAATTCAGTAATCACCCAACTGTGCATGCTGTGCAAATTGTCTCAATACTGCCACTAAGTCACAATCATTATAAGCAGAGATGGATGGTGGCTAGCAGTTGAATCCATGACGCCAGTTTCGTCCTATTCGGGATTCTTCAGCTGGATATACCCGTACCCCAGAGTTGATATTGATTCTGGGACTCGAACCCAGCAAATAAAGAAAGCTTTCACAAAAAAATCTCTTTTATTACAACTCACTTTAACTCAACCACCTTCATTCTAGATCCATAGATATTTTGCTGATATTTATACTATGTAATATAATAAAATTCTTCCAGAGTGGTCTAGCTTCAATAAATTCATGAATCCAACTATTAAGAATTACTGCAATATCCACAAAAACCTTCTTCTGATAATTATCATCATGTGCTCATTATTGCTGGCTTCATGAAGTATTTCCTAGAGTTCTAGTGAAAAGCCGTACACAGTGGAGTTCAACTATGTCTGCTGTGGAGGCATTTACTCATTGAAAACAATAGTAGACGGCCACGCAATATCGTAGATTGGTTGTAATTGGACAATAACACCGTTGGATGCCGACCGGCTCAGTGATCTAGAAGCCAAATGTTCGCCCACATGATCGAAGATTCTTGGTTTGAGTCTCGTGTGTGGGATCGTGTATGCACACTATTAAGGAGTTCCATACTAGGACGAAACGGCCGTCCAGTATTTCCAGGTTTTTCACGGTGATCTAGATTTAATTGAATCATGAATTCAACTACCAAAAATTATTACAATCTCCACTACCCCCCCCTTTTTTTTCTGATAATAATATAATTTTATTAAATACACTAATTTAAATCCACTTTTTCATTTTTACTTTTCAGTCAAATCAGTGATTTCTTTTTCATTCATGTCATTTCATAAAATTATTATCATTTTTGGTATCATAAATACATTTATGTTACTATGGCTACTATATAAACATGATGTATATAATAATTGGACGGTAACAACACAAGTGAATAATGATGATATATTAAACAATACAAAATTGTTAACATTTAATCAAGTAACCAATTTACATGTTTATATAGTGGAAGAACATCATGAAGGTAAGATTTATATTGTTGTTATTTAAGTTTAGTAAAACAACAGTTATTTTTTTTTAGAGGATATTACAAATGGAAGCCTGTTACCTCTCATTGAGGAGCATAGGCTACCGAATAATACTTTAAATAGATTATTACATTTGATTTCATGTACAAAAATTATGTCATCATGAATGGTTGTCATAAAAAATGATTTATCTTTTGAAATCAGTCAAATAGTTGCTATTATCAGCTGAATTATATTGTATAAGTAAAATTAGTAATTAAGTATAGAATTAACTTATTACGTAAAGTATAGTTAAGATAATTAGAATATAATTATTATGGTTAGCAGTGGAAATCGGGATTCGTGTTTTGTTCCATTTAAAATCCGTTACCTATATATATATATATATATATATATATATATATATATATATATATATATATATATATATATATATATATATATATATATATATATATATTGGACAGCCAGGCTGAAGCTGAAGGATCTAGACTTCACAGATGATCTGCGATTTCTGTCGCACACACAGCAACAAATGAAGAAGAAGATGACGAGTGTGGCAGCAGTATACCTCAATATACACAAAGGAAAAACCAAGATTCTCCGATACAGCGCAGCATGCACCAATCCAGTCACAATTTACGAAGAAGATTTGGAAGATGTAAAATCCTTTACATATATGGGCAGCATCATTGATGAATACGGTGGGTCTGATGCGGATGTGAAAGCGCGGATCGGTAAAGCAAGAGCAGCATATTTACAACTGAAAAACATCTGGAACTCAACGCAACTGTCAACGAACACCAAGGTCAGGATTTTCAATACAAATGTCAAGACAGTTCTACTGTATGGGGCGGAAACCTGGAGAACTACGAAACCCATCATCCGGAAGATACAGGTGTTTATTAACAGTTGTCTACTCAAAGTATTTCAAATCCGTTGGTTAGATATAACCAGCAACCACCTATTGCGGAAGAGAACAGACTAGATCCAAACGGAGGAAGAAATCAGGAAGAAGTGATGGAAGTGGATAGGACACATATTGAGGAAAGCATCCAACTGCATCATAAGGCAAGTCCTCACTTGAAATCCTCAACGTCAAATAAAGAAGAAGAGGAAGACCAAAGAACACATTAAGCCGGAAAATAGAGACAGATATGAGAAGAATGAACAACAATTGGATAGAACTGGAAAGGAAGGCTCAGCACAGAGTGGGTTGTAGAATGCTGATCACCGGTCTATGCTCCATTGGGATTAACAGGCGTAAGATAAATATATGCAGATGAATGAAAGGAGAAATGAACATATAAATTATGCACCAGGAAATTTCAAGAAATGTCAGCCAAGAACTTTTTTCTTTTGGCTGACGTCAAATTAAATCATTCTGGATTAACAATCTGTCTTATGCTAAATATATCACGTTTTACAACTCTAAAGGGAATTTTCATTACATACTATACGATTATAATATAATTTGTTTTGTAGTATCTATTTTTTTATTTGTTAGTTTTATCTAGTCAATGTTTTGTTGTTATTTGATGGCCTATTCATTTCTTCAAATGTATATAACATGTATGATTGTTGGATGATAGTTGCTGGAAATCAATAGAAGACCTCGAACCTAGGTTTCATACTATTTGGCACTCAAGAGAAAGGCTTATCTGTAATTTTGAGAGAACTGATGCTAACTGAAGGATTTGATCCTATGTCACTCTGATTCACAGTCGGGAACGTTAGGAATGAGCTTGTGGACAGCGATGGACTTTCTGTAGGACTGAGGTGAATTTACAATAGAGTGATCATTGAGTGATGACCGATGTCATGTAATTCAAGTCTTTTACAGCGCTGATCAAATTCTGTCGATCAACTGCAACCGAACACCATAAGATTACAACTCAACATAATCCACAAGGTGTCGAGTTAAGTTGACTAGTGGCTGAAACTTGTCTCCATCGATAGAACTAGCTTCAAACCAAGAAGGACTTTATATTCGCCACTACTCAGTAATCAATTAATTATAAGTACATCATTGTTGCTTGTAAGTTATAGTACAATGCTAGTAATTATCTGATAGTATCATTATTCTAGAAAAGATTTGCGTATCTAGCGAACTACATATAAGTTAATGGAAAACAATTATTTCAGATACTATTTACTTGAAAAGATTAGATTTATTGGTTTACATATTCGTATTCTGAGTAGATTGTTTTAATATTGCTATTTGTTACTAGCTCTCAATAAAATTGGATTATGGATGGTAGTGGAATTCAAGATAGGTGTTTCGTCCTTTACAAATAAAATTCATGTGCTTTACAAAATTTAGTATCTATTTAGACTCATTATTACCGTCAATTAGGTATGAGTGTTTATAGTAAAAAATAACGGGTTCGAATATCAATGTGAACATCAACATTGAATTAAAAATGCATCCATCTTTTCCATTGTTATTCAGATATCAAATATCTTAAAAACTGTTTATATTACAACAAGCTACTCAAGAATAGTATACTTATTATTATTATTAGCTTTATTCAATATTATAATTTTGGTACAATATAGAATTCTTAGCACAAGGTATTTCAAAAAGTTTCCGTTTCTTACTTCTTGATCGATCCTGACGATAAATATTGGGTGATCACCAGTTAGATGTTAGCATTCCAGTAAATGAACATCTGTATAATGTGCATTCTTTTTGCTGCATATTGCCAGCGACCACAATATCTCTTATTGCGATTTTTGTAACTTTGACAACGAAAAGTTGTACACTTTTCAAAAACGCACTTGTTGAAATATCTAGATAGAAGGAACAGGTAGCCCAGATGCTCAAGCAAGCCACCGTCTGTTTTTCTGCTTTTGGTAACAGAGGTTGATTAATTGTACTTCTTAATATCCTTCATAACAAATTAACCATCATCAAAAGTAGAATTGATAATAGTTGATCTTTCTTAAAGTAATTTGTTTTTCAACAGTCATGTTATCTTTGTTTTTCCCGACCGAATTGATACTTATTTGAATTATGTTTATTTGATATATTTATAGTCATTCCTTACTGGTTTGATGCTGCCAAATCATTTAATAATAAGAAAGCTGTTTTGGTAAGTGTGTGTATTAATTTCTGAGAGAATATTGTGATAATTATCTGTATAGAATCCAAGTGAGTAGATTATTATTATTATTATTAGTAGTAGTAGTAGTAGCAGTAGTAGTAGTAGTAGTAGAGGTAGTAGTAGTAGTAGTAGTAGTAGTAGTAGTAGTAGTAGTAGTAGTAGTAGTGTTAGTTAGCTTTATTCCATATGGTATTTTTGGTACAATATAGAATTCTCAGCACAAAGTATTTCAACAAGTTTCCGGTTCTTATTTCTTGATCGATCCTGACAATAAATATTGAGTGATCACCAGTTAGATGTTAGCAGTTTCAGGAATCAACATCTGAATAATGTACATTCTTTTCGATGTATATTGCCAGCAACCACAATGCCTCTCATTGTGCTCTTTCCTAACTTGTATAGCGAAAGGTTATGAACTTTTCACAAACTCACATGAATATGTTGTACAATTAATTTACATAATGATCTGCTGAAACAAACAAGAAAACAGATAACTTGTTGAAATATCTAGATGGCAGGAACAGCTAGCCCAGATTTTCAAGTAGATCATCTTCACTTTTTAATTATACAAGGACGATATTTCACATTAGGACATTTCATGGAATGAATAAATAGGAGATTTAGACATCTCTTTGATGAATTGTTTTTATGATTATACGAATAAGATTTGTTTATCATGAAAATTTGAATAGTGTAATAACAAAATGAAGATTATGAGAACTATATGCTATTATTAGAGCAATACATTTCGGACAATCTGATCACATATACACGAGCACCATTTTTTAATTGGAGATAATTTTTTATGGGTATGAGATTTATTTAGAAACTCCCCATCTCTCACTAATCAGCTGTACCGTTTTCCCACTAATCAAAATCGTCATTTTAGCCGGCCAATGAAATGACGATTACCGGACCTATGAAAATTGTGAATTTAGTTCGGCAATATCAGTCTTAGTTAACTTTGTTGTCAGCCATGTCTATTTCAAGTGGTGAGACTGATTTGATTTTCAGAGAAATGTTCGTTGGTGTAGGATTTCTAACGGAAGCCGAACTCATGAGACACTATTAGAATGTGACTTTATGACATTTCATAACACGATACAGTTATGGAAATACAAATGATTTTCACATAAAATTTGTATGCAGAAGGAAGTGTCACGCTCAGTGATCAATAATGAGGGTTTGTTTGGAAGTAAATTCTTGATCCATATGTCTAGAAAAACTGTTGGTAGTGGTCGTAAATCTTATGTATGTGTTCGGCTGACAGAAGGCTTTTGCGCAGTCTCAAGATGGTCAGTGAGTCATAATTACAAGTTGCTGCGTGTCACTTGTGAGAAAGATCCTAGCTTTGATCGTTTGACAGTCGAGTAGAAGAATACGACTCGTTCTTTATTGATATCGGGAGCCGCAGTTTTTGTTGTCACCAATTTTGTGTATGAAAATTACAGAAAGAAAATAATCTCCCAAGATATTTATGACTTGCTGTTTTGACGGATCATATTAATGACTTATGAAAAGAATGAAGAGATTAGAAACTTATGGATGTCATTTCTCACTACTTCACTTCGTACGAAACATGGCAGCCGGTTGGATGTTATAGTCTAAAAGCCTTATATCTAGTTTCAGAACTAGTTTACAATCGTTGGAGGTAGTGAGGTCAAAAGTAAGGTCTCTGACAGTGAGTGACGGGATTTAAAGTCATACAAAATGCATCAGTTTCCTTAAAATTTTAAATACACTCCCTGTCTTCCCTTAAACTATAATATTAAAATTGCTTCATATCTTTCTTTCTACGAACTAATTCTTTCTTCATGTACTATATCCTTATATGCAATCTTTCTTTTATATATTACCACCGTTGAATTAACTGCTGCTATGAATTCGGTGTTCATCTTGCTGTGTTAATGAGGTATGGCAAACTGGACCAATGAGCATATGTGCCTGGTCCTACGTTGTAGCTGACTGACTGACTAACTGATTATTAAGTGTCAGGGTTTCAGAGTTTCATACTGATTTGGTTCAACCACCACTTACCATTAAATATAGTGGATCATAATATAGGATCATTTATACTAGTGACTGAACGCCAGTTTTATTGGTGAGGTTTAGTCAACCTAAAGAAAATCTATACAAGGGTTTATTGGCCACTATTCAGTGTACCTTAAAACGATAAAAACATACCAATCCATTATTGAATATGAAAAAGATAAGTTGACTAACATGACACTGTGTAATACTGTAAAGCTGATGAAATTAGAGAAGACTAATAATAGAACATTCAGAATAGTATTAGACGAAAACTAGTCCAGATAAGAACTACAATTAGTAAAAAGTGAACAATTTGGGAAAAAAATAGAGTAATGACTAGAATAAATTGTGTTGAACAGCTAATGCAAGTAACCTGCTCTTCAAATGTAAATAATAAAAAATTACACAACAATGACAATTTCCTCTTAGATGATTTCATTCATTAAAGATGTAAGATCATATGTATACTCAGTCCGTTAGAAAAGCAAGTGAGTGGGGATCAGAAAGTATTCGTTACAGTTAGACATTAAGACCGTTGGATGTCGGCCAGCTCAATGGTCTAGTGGTTAAGCGTTCACAAGCAAAACTGATAGATCCTGGGTTGGAATCTCGCGAGGTGGTATCGAGGATGTGCACTGCTGAGTAGTCCAACAATAGGACAAATCGGCCGTCCAGTGTTTCCAGGTTTTCCATGGTGGTCTAGCTTCAATTGATCATAATTATCGAAATTACATTTATAATGTTTGTTAAATACGTTTACTTACTTATGAGTAATATAAAATTCTATTCAAATATTTTGACAAGAGAGAGCATTTTGGTTATTGAAACTCGAAAGAATTGAAGTCCTATTTAACAATTATAGACTAGTTTTCATATCAAATTGAGTTCAGTCAATTCCAGGTTGCCCGTGTTTCTTAGAGTTATCATATAGACTTTTAGAAGTCAAATAAGGATCCGATAATTTTTTTTCTCAAGCCCTTTAAATTGGCAATATAACTTGAACTTCAATCAGTGTTAACAGTGAACATCTAATACAGTACTGGTTTGACTAACTGTGTGGGTAAAAACCTTTCAACTAGTAAGTGATCATGTCTCTCTGAGAGAGAGCTGATCATTAATACACAGTAATTTGTTAATGATTCAAACAATTTTTCAAAGCTAAATTTACGATATTTCAATTTTAATCGTATTACCATATTAAGTGTATTGATGAAGCTGGGATTGGTCATTTTACACATGGAAACTTGACCTTCTGTGTATTCACCAACAGAAGAAAGTCTTCATGATTAAAAATCTTTTGATTATGGATATTGCACCACTTATCCATTAAAGATCTCTTTCAGATTGTTCGATAATGGAAAAAAGTGATAATCAGAACAGTGTTCAGAATGAACAATAGTTAGTACCGAAAAATACACTTTCGATTTATTTGACCATCAGCTTTGGTGTGAAGGGTTTGTGTAGATAGTCGCATTACAATAATATTAATAATCAGATGTCAGTTAGCGACTAATCTCTAGAAAAAAATCAAACAGTTCTAGTGAGAAATCATGATCAGTGAACTTAATACTTACTTACTTTCGCCTGTTACTCCCAATGGAGCATAGGCCGCCAACCAGCATTCTACAACCCACTCTGCCCTGGGCCTTCTTTTTTAATTCCATTCAATTCTTGTTCATTTTTCTCATGTCTATCTCCATTTCTCCGTGTAGTGTGTTCTATGGTCTTCCTCTTCTTCTTTATTTGACGTTGAGGATTTCAAGTGAGGACTTGCCTTATGATGCAGTTGGATGCTTTCCTCAATATGTGTCCTATCCACTTCCATCACTTCTTCCTGATTTCTTCCTCCGTTTGGATCTAGTCTGTTCTCTTCCGCAATAGGTGGTTGCTGGTTATATCTAACCAACGGATTTGAAATACTTTGAGTAGACAACTGTTAATAAACACCTGTATCTTCCGGATGATGGGTTTCGTAGTTCTCCAGGTTTCCGCCCCATACAGTAGAACTGTCTTGACATTTGTATTGAAAATCCTGACCTTGGTGTTCGTTGACAGTTGCTTTGAGTTCCAGATGTCTTTCAGTTGTAAATATGCTGCTCTTGCTTTACCGATCCGCGCTTTCACATCCGCATCAGACCCACCGTATTCATCAATGATGCTGCCCATATATGTAAAGGATTTTACATCTTCCAAATCTTCTTCGTAAATTATGACTGGATTGGTGCATGCTGCGTTGTATCGGAGAATCTTGGTTTTCCCTTTGTGTATATTGAGACCTACTGCTGCTGAGACTGCTGCCACACTGTTCGTCTTCTCCTGCATTTGTTGTTGCGATTGCGATAGGAGGGCCAGATCATCTGCGAAGTCTAGATCGTCCAGTTGTATCCTGGATGTCCACTGTATCCCGCGTTTCCCTTCAGACGTTGACGTCTTCATGATCCAGTAGATCACCAGGAGAAAGAGAAAGGGTGAGAGTAAGCAACCTTGGCTGACACCGGTCTTCACTTCGAACGACTTTGTCAACTGTCCTCCATGCACAATTTTGCAGTTTAATCCATTATAGGAATTCCGTATGATATTGGCTATCTTCTGAGATACGCCGTGGTATCGAAGAAGCTACCACAGTGTTGTTCTGTTCACACTATCAAATGCTTTTTTGTAGTCAATGAAGTTGATGTAGAGTGATGAATTCCATTCAATTGATTGTTCCACAATGATCCATAGAGTTGCGATTTGGCCTGTACACGATCTATCCTTACGGAATCCTGTCTGTTCGTCACGAAGTTGGGCGTCTACACAGTCCTCCATCCTGTCTAACAATACCCTGTTGAAGACTTTTCCCGATGTTGAGAGAGGAGTGATGCCCCTGTAGTTATCACACTTGCTGAGATCGCCTTTCTTCAGTATTTTGATCAGAAGTCCTTCTTTCCAGTCTCTTGGTACTTGTTCCTCATTCCGAATCTTATTGAAGAGAATGAGGAGTATCCTTGCAGTTGCCGCTACGTCTGCTTTTATTGCCTCTACTGGGATGTTGTCCGGTCCTGCTGCTTTGCCACTCTTGATTTGTCTGATGGCCATGTTGATTTCCTCAAATGTTGGTGGGCCAACATTGATTGGGAGGTCCGTGGTTGCTTCTTCGATGTTGGGTGGGTTCAGTGGGGCTGGTCGATTCAAGAGTTCTTTGAAGTGTTCTACCCAACCTGTTTCGTTGTTCTTCAATGTTGGTGATTTCTGAAGTTCAACAATATTGCATGTTAGCCAGTTATTCTTTAATCCCAATGAAAGATGCTTGCAAAATATCGTGAACTGATTGAAATCGCGAATGTAAACCACTTGACAGTGAATCCGTAGTTCATGGGTTGAACATTCTCTTTCAGATGTGAAAATCCCACTTTCATTACCTGAAAAGTCGCATACTACAACGAAAAAGTTGTTCTGTATTTCCAGTTTTTCAATGTTTATCTAATTCAGGTCAAGCCATGATGTAAATTAGATAAAAAAGAATGTACTCGGTTGCTATGATTTCCTACTTTATGGAACTAAAGAACACAAGAGTAGCATTAAAACTTGATTAAACATATCACTGTGGTCAATATTATATTCATTCTCTGACTAACTTGAATAACAAAATCTGAAAATTTTCTTATTCGATATCTTCAAACAACATTCATTTCTGATAGATGGACAAAGCTGGTTACTTCAAATGACTGTATGTAGTTTTATCTCTCGTTCAGTTACAGTCCTCTTCATTTATTAAGCTTTGATGCAATATTGAACAAAACCTATCTAAATCGTTAGCTAAGGTTAGTCTATAATGTAAACTATACATTCACACTGTTAAGAAATTTGAACTTGTCTCCATTTTTGAAATATACGATCTCATGAATTTAAATAAACTATTTGACTTTCTAAAACAAAAGCATCATTTATGGCTAATTAATGGAAATTTCAATAAATTTTGTTATAAAATGACATCTTTATTTAATATCAGAAGGGGTTTTGTGGGGATTGTAGTAATTTCAATAGTTGAGATCATGAGTCAATTGAAGCTAGACCACCATGGAAAACCTGAAAACACTGGACGGCCGTTTCGTCTTATTGCTGGACTCTTCAGCAGTGTATATCCACGACCCCGCCCTGCGGGGTATAAGACTATTTAATATTTACATGTATTCTGTCGAACGAAACGTTAGATTTCGTTTGTACGTAGAATAAAAAGCTGATAAATGTAACGTTTGATCAATTATGTAACTATGAATTACTTAAAATAATACTAAATAACATAATAAGCAAAGATGGATAGTAGCTAGTAGTGTGGAAGCCAGGATGCGTGTTTTTTCCTATTTGGGACTCGTCAGCTGAATGTACCTGCATTTTAGAGTTAATGTTCGGCATATAAAAAATAATAGATTGATTATAAATCTTTTGGTATATTTACAAGATTTTAAATATATACTTTTATAGTTGAGTTCATGAGTCAATTAAAGCTAGATCACCATGGAAAACCTGGAAGTACTGGACGAACGTTTCGTTCTAGTATGTGACTTCTCAGCAGTGCGCATCCAGAAACCTCGCTCTTGCATGCGAGCACTCAATCTCCGGACCACTAAGCTGGCCGGCATCCAACGTCACTAATGTCTAACTTCAACCAATTCACGAAATTGCGCGGTCATCCACCATTGTCTTGAGGGAGTTACTATCTCACAACATACCCGGTTTTTAAAAAATATAATACCATCAATTTATAACACTATAAATGGATAAATAACTAATTTACTAAAGATGTCTGTCAGTTACTGTATTACTGTAGGCTAATGATCGTTACATATATCGTGCACAGAATTAGTTAGAAAATATTCATTTCTTGGTATTAATTACTCTGGAAATTCACTTGATTTGTTCATATTTATAACAATTCGCTTATGATTACATCAGTGAAATGAAAGCTTTGAACTTATTAAAACATTTCTGTAAAGATTTACCATACATAATGGTAAAGATAATGGCATGAAATAGGGTCATTTCCTCATATACAAATGAGAGATAATGAAAAATGACTATGATATAATAAACTCAGCAATGATTCTCAGAATACAGTTTAGGATATACACCTTTTATTTCCTGACATTTGTTGAGAAGAAGAAAACTTACTTATTAACGCCTGTTACTCGCAGTGGAGCATAAGCTGCCAACCAGCATTCTATAACCCAATCTGTCTTGAGCCTCCCTTTCTAGTTCTATCCAATTGTTGTTCATTCTTTTCATATCTGTCTCCATTTCTCAGCGTAATGTGTTCTTTAGTTTTCCTCTTCTTCTTTGGCCTTGAGGATTCCATGTGAGGACTTGTCTTGTGATGCAGTTGAATGCTTTCCTCAATGTGTGTTCTATCCACTTCCATCACTTCTTCCTGATTTCTTCCTCCGTTTGGATCTGGTTTGTTCTCTCACACATTACGAAGAACTTGAGGAAAATGGCATTTAATCTTTGATGCTTATTTTTTTGATATGTGTAAATGTGTTGTGTTACGTTTTTTCCATTATTTATTTAAATGTGCAAAACTAAATATTTTACAGCATTTTACCATCAAACTCCAATATCACTGTCTCTGAAAATCAACAATATGGTCGATAGTTTTTTCCCTGCTTATACATTTTTAATTTTATTGTATAGCTAATAAAGCCTAAATTCCAACGTATAACTCTCTTGATAGAATCTCAACAGATATCTCAGTTATATTTGTATAGTGACATGTCCAAAATGAACAAGAATCCCTCCTCAATTTCCTTGATTTAAACATTCATCACATGAAAAAAAAAATTGTAGTAGATTATTGAATTACTGAACATTGTCTAATTAAGGTAATTTTAGAAGATAAACTACATAAAACTTTAACCTGATTAATATTAAGTATTTGTTCAAAATTACTGTGATGTATGCTACTGATATCGATAGATATAAGTAGTATGTATCACTAATCGAAAATGAAATGCCTAACAGTAGAAAGTTAATAAGATTCAATAAACGAGAATGAGAACAAATAATGATTGGTATGAAAACAAAAGAACAATGAAGTCTGAGACAAATGACCGACATTTCGTAAATCAAGTATTTATTGTATGGTTATTTTAGATTCTACTAAGAAGTTTTATTATTATTATTATTATTATTATTATTATTATTATTATTATTATTATTATTATTAATGGCTTTATTCAATATTATATTTTGGTACAATATAGAATTCTCAGCACAGGGTATTTCAACAAGTTACTTATGCAAACAAAAATAGTAACAAAGACAAAAAAAAGTTTAAAAAAATATCTGAAAAACAGTACAACATTTAAAATTAAAGTCATGTGAAGAATGCAAGTTATTGACTAGGTTAACTCTAACAACCTGTTCGTCACAGAGTATATTTGCTAGATAAGGTATTATAGAACATTTGTACTTTTCCTTGCGTGCATGGATTTTAATGTAATTACGTCTCGTTCTACCAGAAGATATACAAGGAGAAAGATAAGAGTGAAGGGGATGGCTAGTATCTGATAAAATAACACCTGCCAGGAGTTTGCATGATTTTAAATATCTATCCACAACCATATTAATTATGACCTCGAAAGATTCACCACACACCTTGCTAACTGCCTTCAGCACTCTTCGCAATACAGCAAAGTCTTTTCTCAAAAGCTCGGGAAAGAATAACGGAGAACAGTAAAGAATAATAGGTAGTATGCAAGAATTGACAAATTGTAAGAGTAAATGACGAGTAATCCCAAGAGCATGAAATCTCTTTATGTAATAGGTCAGACGGAAAACCTTCTTCGATAACGATAAAACGTGGGAAGACCAAGACAGATCAGAGGAAAAGGTGACACCAAGATAATTGACCTTAGACACTGAGTTTATCAAAGAGTCTCCGATGGTACGAGCACTATAGGATTTCTAAATGGTGTTTATATTCCGTTTATGTCTCATGCTAAAGTTAACAGCTTGACATTTAGACGGATTAACTATAAGACCATTACCAACAGACCAACAATCAATACGAGACAAAAGCTCATTCATTCCTATGGGATGTAAAGAGGAAGAGATAGGCATACATACAGTAAGATCATCCGCATATTTCACAAGTGTTTTCTGTGGAAGATGACAGATCATGCAGAAAAAAAGAGAAAAAAAAGGTGAAAGAACAGCTTCTTATGGTACACCTTCATGAGACAGTAGAGACTCTGAACTCTTTCCTCCAAACACAGTGTATTGTTTCCTTCCAGAGAGGTAGGAACATAGCCAGTTGGTTATCCAGCTGTCAGTGTTGACGCTGATTATCTTGTTAAGTAAACGTTGTCTTGGTATAGAGTCAAAAGCTGAAGTATAGTCCAGAAAAGTACATCGAACATACTTCTTACCCTTTTCTAAGTTGAACACTTATGTTCTCATTCACTGTAGTAGGTGTATGATTTCTGGTCAGAAATGTATGTGCTCATTTTATTAACTATTATAAATGATAATAAACAATCTTAATGATTTTGTTATTGTTTTAGCTTCATATTGATGCCCATAGTGATATGGATTATCCGGAATTAGTAGATGAATTTCCAATTGGTCATTTTCCTCATTCAACTAATGAAATGAAAACATTAATGCAAGCCAATGATGAATTTATTCAGGTATGTAAAAGAAAGTTATTTTGTTATATTAAACTAGAAAAATACAAAAATTATGATAGTTTCTTTAAGATGTATATGACAGTAATATATTATATTTGGAAGATTTCAATTATGATATACTTTGACGCATTCATGAACAGGAATATGAACTCTATTGTACATCTACTGATTCTACATATATGATATATTTTTAAAGATGAATTTCAACATGAAAGGATCAGATCATCTAAGAAGTAGACACAATACACACAAATTACTGAATGTGTTTTGAATGTAACGTTGTTAATTGACACTTTTAAAGTTTAACATTGTCTAGTTTTTTTCTTCAATAATATCATGAATTAAACAGTGAAATTATAACAAAAATCAATTTTTACAATGAGATCTTGTTCTTTTGATCAGATTCTAATAGCTTTATCAGTTTAGTGGTTGTGGAGATTGTTAAGTTTTTTATTGAGATCATGAACCGATTGATGTTGAGGTTAGACATTAACACCATTGGATGCAGGCTCAGTGGTCCAGTAGGTTAAGCGTTCAGGAGTGAGACTGAAGGCCCTGGGTTCGGATCCCGCGAGCGGGACCGTGGATGCGCACTGCTGCGGAGTCCCACAATAGGACGAAACGGCCGTCCAATGCCCTCAGGTTTTCAATGGTAGTCTGACATCAATCGGTTCATGGTCTCAATTCAATAGTTTTGTTTTATGTAGTTCAATGTTCATTATTTTAAAACTTGTAAATTGTCATTATTTGAATATACATTTAGTATAGATGGTAATGAAACGCAAAGAAGATTTGCAAATGATGTATTTAGTGTATAAAATTCACCATAATTTTGATTTCCCCAGGCGAGTTGTCATACACTATATACACTTCTGATGAATGTCAGCAGCCATGAGAGCGTTGACATTCCACGTAGAGAGAAAGTACAAAAGAAAACTCGTTTTATGAATAACAAATTTGAATAAAACTTTCTACTCAGCTAAGCTCCGAATTGTTTTCTCAAACTGGCCTACCATCTATGGATGTGTTTAGGATAAACTTCCGCTTTGGACCACATCAGTGTGCATCTATAAGTTTACTTGCTCATGTGGAGCAGGTTAAATTGGCCACATAAGGTGATCACTTTCCAAGTGCATCTCAGAACACTACCGGGAATGGCTTTTCAAAGGAGAATGCAAAAAATTATCAGCAGCATCTAATCAACTCTGAACAAATAGCTCCGAAGGAGTCTTCTTTTTAAAGGAACTGGATCGAAGGGATGTCGAATCAAAAACTTATGAACTACTGAGGCATCGGCGATTCATCAATTCAGGCTCGAATTCTGTGTGCGAAAACGATACGTCCAACTTCTCATTCTTCCTTGATCCTAATTCTCCTCTGTAGTGTGTTTCTTTTTTAAATGAATGTTTTGTAGTTTTAAACCGTGATCAGTTATTATTATTCTTTAATAGTTTTTCATGATTATTATTCCGTTGTTATTATTGTGACCTTTACGTTTCTCGTTTTTTTTCATATCTGTCAATTGGACAATTATCTTTCATAATTCAGACACGTAAATTATTTTTATCCTTAGATTCTTTTCTTACTCCTTGATTATTGCGTAACCTCGTTTGATAATAAGATTCTCAAATCAATTTATGATGCAATCTTCTCTATCCTTCTATAGACATATTTTCCGTATAAGTATAAATACAAATGTACAGCTTAAGTAAATGATTTCGTCGAAAAGGAAATTTTCTCTGAATTCACTTTATTTTTATTCAAATATATTAGTTTTTTTTACTTTACAACAACGAAAGCTAAGCAACTAAACCATTTGGCTGAGAACTGAATAATATTGGAAGCATTTCCCTCAAAAGCATGTCTTTCATGTTTCGACATGCCTCAATGATAAATAAATATCATATAAGAACCAGAAGTAACATAGATTGTTCGTGGATGAATTAAATACACTAACGGTATGACGTTTATCCTGGTTAGCGTTTAAATAAACGTTATACCATTGGTGTATTTATTTCATCCACGAACAATCTATGTTACTTCTGGTTCTTATATGATATGAGATCAACAGGATGGATTCTGTAAGGATCGGTCGTGCACAGACCAAATCTCGACACTACGGATCATCATTGAACAATTAATTGAATGGAAGTCGTCACTATATATCAACTTCCCTGATAAGGAGAAAGAATTTGACAGCGTGGGTATTAGAACATTTCGGAACCTTCTTCGACACTATGGTGTACCTGGGAAAATCCTCAAAATCACCCGAAATTCATACGACGGACTACACTGCAAAACGGTGCATAGAGGACAGCTGACAGAACCGTTGCAAGTGAGGACTGAAGTCAGATAAAAATGCTTACTCTCAACCCTTCTTTTTCATCTGGTGGTTGACTGGATTATGAAGAACTTCACATATGAGGGGAAGCATGAAAAACAATGGACAGTTTGCACGGAACTAGAGGATTCGGATGATCTGGCTCTTCTAACTAATACATAGCGGTAAACGCAGGTAAAGACAACCAGTGTAGCAGAAGCTTTTGCATTAATAGGTCTCGGCATACACGATGGAAGAAGAAAGATCTTCAAATACAACACGGAGATTACCAACTCAATCATACTTGATGGATAAATTCAAGTAGAGGTGGAATCTTTCGCGTATTTGGGAAGCATCATCAATGAACAAGGAGGATCTGATACACACGTAAAGCCAAGGATTGGCAAATCAAAAACATCATTCATACAATCCAAGAACATATCGAACTCAAAATAACTGTCAAATAATATCAAAGTCACAATCTCCAATACGAACATCAAGACTGAGTTCTGCCATATGGAGCTGAAATTTCCAGAACTACCACAATCATCATCAAAAAGCTATAGGTATTTATAAATAGTTGCGCACGCAAAATACTCAATATCTGTTTGCCGGATACCATCAACAACAACCTGCTGTGGCAGATAACAAACTAGGTTGCAGATGAGGGGGAAATTAGTTAAAGATGTTGGAAGTGAATAGGACACACATTGAGGAAATCATCAGACTGAATCATGAGGCAAGCCTCAACTTGGAATCGTGAAGTGGATTTGAAAAGAGTAAGGCTTAATAACACACTGCATCGAGAATTTTAAGTAGACATGAGAAGGATGAATAGGAAGTGGAAAGAATTGGAAAGGATTGCCCAGGAGAGTATTGGATGGATAATGCTTATGTGTGGCCTATGCTCCTTGACGAAGAGTTTCAGGCGTAAGTTATAACGTTTGTCAATTTTACTTATGTTACTTTGAAAATATCTTCCTTAACAAATTAATTCACATCAGAATTTGATGTCTGATATAAAAACGATACTTAAGTAAGATTTTAGTCTGGACAGTAATTCATCGTAGAAAAAAATACATTTCATTTTGAAATATGATCTGATTACTGGAAGATTTCTCTTCTCTATGGTAGAACTAAGTGAGAAGTATTTTGATCTAATCGAGTTGGATCAACGATATACACATTGAGAATACCTTACACTAGATTATAGACCAGAATTAATGATCATGTAAGACAGTATTGTATTATTTGACAAAGTCCTATGTATCCATTTTCTCTTATTGGCCAATCACGACCTAATATCAGGTGACATATCGTTTTATTTCAAGATGCATGAAATCAATTCTAGGCACATAGATACTGAAAAATATTTAAAAAATTTATCAGTATTGACATTTTTCGAAGCAATAAATGTTTAAATGTCACCGAGTTCCGACTACATGTATTAAAAAAAAGAACGATAATCGACCAAAATAAGGTAAAGAATACAAGAAATCAGCTTTATTAGTGAAATTCACTTAAGAAGTGAATGTTTGTATGTGTTTGTTTATGTGTTGAATTGTAATAAAGTGAGGTTGAGCTAGCATTTTCCTACACTTTAGACAAGTTATGAAACAACAGAAACTTAACACATTCTCTTTTTACTTAAGAAAAAACAAACAAACGAGAAATCGTATTGCAAACATTCTTTTCTAGTCTCTTTACAAACTGTAGAAGGTGTATAGAATTGTTGTTGTAGATTTCACAAAAAATGGTATATATCACTTCACCTCTAGTATATATATATATATATATATATATATTCAAGAATGTAATAAATCAAATTTCCCCCTTTTGCTTATTTAGATTTTTTGGGATAAATGAAGTAAGGATATTAATGGCTAAAAGATAAGTCAGTTTCTAGTAATCAATTCTAATTTAAAACTATTCTTACCGTGGATTATTTTTGTTGAATTTCATTTGGTATTGACTGAATGGTTGATATAAAGTCAATAATACACAGATTCCTTGTGAGAATCTATTACAGTTGTCTTAAAGTAAAATCTTAATGTATTAGTTAGTTGTAGGAGATCTGTATGAAATATCAAGTTTCGAGTCACTTAGATACCTAGGTGAATCGTAATATGATCAATAGAATTCGAGCGAATTCATGCAGGACTATATATCATGAAATTAGTTGGGAATTAATAATCGATGAATGTGATATTTCATTCATTTTAAAACTGACTAGTTTGATGTAAACATTTCAACTAATGGTGGTGCCCAACCCCACGACATGACCCCATAAAGAATGATAAAGGAGCCATGAACATAAATTCTCCGATTGATTTGGTATATTCCACTTAGAATAACGCCGTTTGAGCTACCATAGTAATAAGCAGTTAAATACCAATTAGGTTAAATGAATTTATTTCAGGCATACTTTTTCTCAGACAGACGTTATGATTTAATTAAAACGTAAGTCAACATCTATAGGAACCATAAAACACATATGTACGATTATACACACATGCTTAAAGTCACATCTAAATGACTAAATGAATGGGAAGATTAAATTAATTCATCCGTCCAAAAGTAAGGATAAATCATGTCAACGTATAAGAATGCTAGTTGCTGCAAATGTTTTATTTGAAGTACTCCTGTAAAGCTGGGACACCCAAATCATCAACTGTGAGACCTCTATACAATAAAATGATTATAGTGAATAACCAGTCTTTTGTCCATCATTATGTTGGATTTCAATTTCAGTATCGATCCATTCACAGTTGATAGAAAATTTTTTCACTGGTAGTTATAGTTAAAGTACTTTTCTTAATATGATATACTATTCTATACTGTATTATTTCAGTTGCTCCTAAAATAACCTTGGGAAGTTCACGTTTTATTACTAATCAATGAGTGCAAAGGTAAACGAAGTTAAGACTTCACTGATAGGAAATGAGATAAGATACATTTCTGTAAATGTGCAACTCATCCATTTCTCAATCCGTTCAATAAGTATATAGCATCAAGTATTTTCAGGGAATTTTCTGTTAATTTACTGATTGAGTACTGCATTTGTGAGCAAAATGCCAACCAAGGATTCCATTTCAAGTTCTACCTTTCACTTTACCTGCTTTTTCATCCCTCAAACTGTGATACGCTTGAGCGGAATGTTCATAAAAAATAAGCAGATAGCATTAGATTATTGGAATGAAATCTCCAGTGAAAATTAACCTCCCACGTACAACACTTACTCATTAAATACATGAAAAAATTCTTGAAAATTCTTGATACTGTACACTTGTTAAACACTCAAGGAAGGATGGTTATTGTCACACCGAAAAGGTGCTGACCTCAAACATTCACAGAGTTTTTATCCTCCTTCATTTAACAGTATTTTTATTTAACGATAACGGAAATGACTTGTTTGCATTAGTCTAAAGTGCTTTAATTGATTTATAATGTTACCTTATTAATAAGTTGTTTATCTAGCGATTATTAACGAGTGATACATTTTCAAATTCATGCAGAAACCTCAAAGCTCTATCGTGAATAGTTCAACTTGTGATATTGTTGAATTCTACTGTCTGGTTCTTCTATATCATATAGTTACTGTGGTATATCAAGCCCATTATGTAAATAAAAAGACTAAAGTGAATGTGAAGATTTAATTTGCAAACCCAGTTACCATGCTCATCTATCATAGGTATACATGTGATTGAACTTCCGACCCAAACAAATGACATATACTGTGACCCTGAATTAATGTATGATCGACTTCCTCGAATAACCTGTCTTTTTTCAAATATCTCATCTACCGTTTGATATTGAAATGGTGCATAAGTACAGGCATGTGCTTGCCCAATCTATTACAGAGATGAACGATCATGGTTAGACTAATGAATAAAATATTTTTTCTGTATTTAAGAGGTTTAGATGCCTCATAATGAAGTTTTTGATTACTGGTCGCTAGGTTCGTCTCAACAAGACAAATCTTTTTATAATTCATCATGCTTCAAATATTTTTCGTGGCGTATCTGTAATTACTAATATCTAATATATCTAAGAGTTTTCGTGACTTAACTCTTCGTCATGGTTAGTCATCTTTACAGAAGTATGTTATCTGCGTAGTAACGTCATATAAGAAGGTACAAGCTGTTGAAAACAGAAATACTTAACCTGAAACTGGATATACGATGGATTCGCTCTTTTCCGATTGCAAAGTCCTTAGATTAGAATGAAGTTTGGTTTAATGTTGTCTTTGAGTTTTTCATTAAAATATATTCCTTGTAACAGAGGGATTTATAACTCTCTTGTGAATGACAGTTTCTTAGCTAGTCAAATGCATTTTTTTATTGACTTTTCAAAATTTGGTTGTATTGCAATGGATTATGTAAAACGTTTTCAATTCATGTAATAGAACTGTTGCTGTTTATCTTCTGTCCTAGATTTCTTTAAATACTTGTTTCTATATTTTTCTCAATGTGTTATTCTAATAATGAATTACATTTTCTCTTACCCGTTCAACACTGTTGAACAATTAATTGATAAATTTCTCGAATAATTCCAGTTTTGCAATGTATATATGTATTACTGTGTTTTTTTGATGTCAAAATACATTTTATGGTGAAGTTATTGGTGTTTTTGATTGTCATTGGTGAATATCCATAGATCCTGGGACATATTTGCAACGGTCACTACAATGACATGGAATTATCAAGACAAATTTCAAAGTATTTGGGGTATTAACAATATGGGTGAAAGTGTGATAAATTAATAGCATAGACGATATGATTTGAAATGAAATAATGAACTCCTGAAACATAAAAAATATAATATTATACTCAAACTCATAATTTAAGGAAAGACAAGGACTAGATTAATCAACGCCACAAACGAATGATTATGATATCACGTTGACTTCAATCAGGTACTCTGTATCTATTTTAGTGGTTCAATCTAACAGTAATCGACTTAATGGAGTGATGAAACATCTTGATTTGCCTTTTAGCTTATTACCGACTTATGTATGAAATTTTGATGACAGTTAGTATTGTATGAAGTTAAGGTTATAAAAAGTATGACTATTTATCACGTTTATCCAGATAAAAAGATTCCGTTTACGAATATTCCAGTGTTTACTTACTTAATTACGCCTGTAACCCCTCTTCGAGGAGCATAGACCACATATAAGCATTATCCATCCAATACTCTCCTGGGCAATCCTTTCCAATTCTTTCCACTTCCTATTCATCCTTCTCATGTCTACTTAAAATTCTCGATGCAGTGTGTTATTAAGCCTTACTCTTTTCAAATCCACTTCACGATTCCAAGTTGAGGCTTGCCTCATGATTCAGTTTGATGATTTCCTCAATATGTGTCCTATTCACTTCCAACATCTTTAACTAATTTCCCCCTCATCTGCAACCTAGTTTGTTATCTGCCACAGCAGGTTGTTGTTGATGGTATCCGGCAAACAGATATTGAGTATTTTGCGTGCGCAACTATTTATAAATACCTATAGCTTTTTGATGATGATTGTGGTAGTTCTGGAAATTTCAGCTCCATATGGCAGAACTCAGTCTTGATGTTCGTATTGGAGATTGTGACTTTGATATTATTTGACAGTTATTTTGAGTTCGATATGTTCTTAGATTGTATGAATGATGTTTTTGATTTGCCAATCCTGCATCTATATCCTCCTTGTTGATTGATGACGTTACCCATGTACTTGAAGTTTTCCACATATTCCAGATTTTCTTCATCAAGTGTGACTACGTTGATGATTCTACTGTTTAACCATATAATATTACTAATAAATATAATTAAATTTGAATATAAATTTTAAATCAGATTTTTTTAAGAATCACTTTTTAGTTTACATTCTTTTTTGTTGTTGTTCAATTTCAGAGCGCAATTATTACGAATCTTATTCAAACTGTATATATTATATATCCATATTGGACATTTAATACAAGTTATGCATATACATCTAGTTTAGGTATAACAACAATTAATAATACAAAACAAATTTGTATGTGTCTTAATATTGATACTACTGATAATAATACTGATAATGATGTTGATAATATTGATGATGAAGAAGAAGATCATTGTAAAACTCGTAACCAAGATAATCCTTTAAATGATTTTATATTATCATCAAATCAATGTCCGAAAACATGGTTATATCATTATATTGAATTAAATTCATTAACAGCATCAAATATTTTACGTTATTCAAATTATTGGTCATTAAATAAATTATTAAATTTAAATTTTATAAATCATTCTAAACCAATGACATTTGATCACCAAGGTAATCAACCAAATCCTCCTCCTCCTCCTCATCCTCATCATCGTCATGATGAGTATTTACCATTAATACTTGATATTGATGAAGATTTTTTTGGTGTACACCTAGTTACACATAATTTATTAAAATCTGGTTTAAATATAAATTTTATTCATACAATGAATTCAATTATTTCATTAATATTTTGTCCAATTCATTATATTAATGAAATACATATTGATCAAATTTATCGTTGGTTAATTGAATACATTTATATCAATAAACATTTAAGAAAAAATTATAAATCAATAATCGATCATAATCAATTAATGATGATCTTAAAGAAAATCAATAAAACTCTTCAAATCACTGATATATTCTGTTATAATTATACATTATATTTAATGAAATTAAATGAATTATTTATAAATAATACAATTACATATCATCAAATTGATGCATTAAAATATGTTGGTGTCTGTTTTACTAATTCATTAATAACTTATCAATATATACCAGAAATACATTTATGTTTAGGGCATAATTTACCGAATCAATCATTAGTAGATGAATTTTTACCAATATCAAATGATTTATTAAAATTAGCTATACATTTTACACAAATTTTATTAACAATCCCATATCAACCAAATATAATTACTATAGCACGGTCATCCCGTGATGGTTATACACCTAGATGGTTACAATATGATATTGAATTGATGATAATAAATATATTAAAAAAAATATTTCATTTAACTGAAAAGAATATAATTTATACAAATCATTTAGCTGGTGATAAATATTATGGTTGGTATCATCGATTTACATGGAAAAATGAAAATCAATAAAATACATATGCCAATAACAGACTGATCAATTTCAGTCTTAAACCTCAATGGGAAGATACAACTCAAACAATACCAAGTGAATACATATTGTGTAATTTTTAAGAAAAAAAAGAAAAAAATGTAACAATAGACGATTTATAAACATGTAAATACATCCTAATTGAAATTCCCAATGACTCAGAAATCTTTTAAAAAATAGTATTAGATGGGTTTTCTGGAGATTTTGGTAATTTCAATCGTTAAGATCATGTGTCAGTTGAATCTAGACCACCATGGAAAATCTGGAAGCACTGGATGGCCGTTTAGTCCTATTGTGGGACATAGTAGAAGGGGTTTTGTGGAGATTTCAGTAATTTTTATAAGTTGAATTTATAAATCAACTGAAGCTAGATCAATATGGATAACCTGGAAGCACTGGACGGCCGTTTTGTTGTAGTATGCGATTCCTCAACAGTGCATATCCATGATCTCACCCCGCGAGATTCTAATTCAGGATCTATCAGTCTAGTGTGCGAACGCTTAACCTCCAGACCCCTGAGTCGGCCGGAATCCAACGGTGTTGAGGTGTTCCATACTAGGACGAAACGGTCATCCAGTATTTCCAGGTTTTCCATGGTAGTCTAGCTTCAATTAACTCATGAATTCAACTTTGTGACTTTCCGGTATAAAACATTGATAAATATTCGTACAATCGAATAGAAGAACTATAGGTAAACATTATACCATTTGGTCAAAAAATTTGAGTTTACTGACTTAAATTTTGAGTCATATTACTTTCATAATCTATAGTAATCGTCACTTAATGTTATCAGTGAATTGTCTCACTCCAGACATGGTTATAACTTAGAAGTTTATGAATAATTGTATTGAAACAAGTCAATAAATGATAATTATAAGGATGATTTGTATAATGACTATTGTATAATTTGATGTTGATTTGTAATATTAACTGATATCAACCGTTTTCAATGACTGTTAATTTGAGCTCAGGTGACTGACTAAGATTACCATCAAGTTATTTTTGTTATTAGAAAATAAAGATTTAAGTTTTGTAGTAATTTTTAGTCGTTTAAACGTTTTGTTTATAATTCTTTGAATAAAATTAAAACAACTGTGGTTTAAATTTATTATTTACACCAGCCCATACAATAATGACCAATGTTTTACACCATCCCCCGCTGTACTCCTCAAACCTATCACCCGACATTATTCATAATGTTAAAAAATGGATATAAAAGCCAATAATTTGTTCAGTAGTTATCTTTTAATCAACAATGAGCTCTGGTAATCATGTTATCACTAATTTAGATTCAAGTTCGAACTTGTTTTCAAAATTTAACTTTAGGGATAAACAAAAATCCTATCGTTTTAATGTCAATCTGATTCTTCAATAAATATCGTCTTTAAAATTAAAGAAACTAAATTTCCTTTGTCCGTCAGAACCACAATTAATGTAATACAATGGAAATCAAGAAATATATTTCACATGTTTTAACACTTAGTGCATTTGTATCTGCATTGATCTTCTTAAAGAAATATGTATTCACCACAGTTAAACTGCGATATTAATAAGATGACTGAAAATGTTCCAGGTTTTGTACTACCAAGATTCTACTAGAATAAATTATACAAAGGTGTATAAAACTTCTATGTGGATTGAACTTAAACATAAACGCTATGTTTACAATTATATCGCATTCCTCAGTCATCCGATTCATAGAGAACTATGTATGGTTCATAGAAGTTTGACTAACTTATTACACGAATGAGAAGACTTAGAATGACTAGGAAGTTTTGGCCGACAAACCGAGAAAAATGTACACAAATCGTGGGTATACATATATTTGTCATTTTGACTAAGCGTATGATCGGCCTCAGCCAGCCACTTGATTTTAAGATGGTAAGTGGCCACAGTTTGGACTCGTTCAGTCTATGTAGTAAACAAACAGTATCCCTATTACTGAATGTTGAAAAAAATGAAATAGTTGATAATATGTGAATCTACCTATTCATTAAAAAGTGAGCTTTATTCGGTCGCCAGTTATTTGGTTCTTAAATTCTAATCTACCTAAATAGCTACTACCTAATTCTATTTATCGCTGAGCCTGTATCCAATGGTGTTAATATCTAGCTTCAAAAGTGTTTATAAGTTATCGACGGTGTTTTAACTTAGATAAGTTTTTGATTTCAATGAAATTCAACAATATCAACAACCCAAATACTGATAATTATCATGTGCTCACTAGTGACTGGATTCAGAGTTCTAGTCAAAAGCCGTAACCAGTAGAATCAAACCGTGTCAATTATGAGGCAGTTATCCACTGAAGACAATCAATGATTGTCTAGAAGCGTCATGGATTGATTAAAATTAGACATCAACACTGACTTAGTGGTTCATAGGTTAAAAATTCACGTGCAATACTAGAGGTCCTGTATTCGATTCCAATGTACGGAATCGTGAATGTACACTACTGAGTAATCCCATAGTCGAATAAAACGACCGTTCAATTCCTCCAGGTTTTTAATGCTGGTTCAACTTAGACCGGTTTATGATTTCAATTAAATTTATTCTTTGTCTTAATGGTTGTTATTGAAAGCTGGATTCATTGTTAAATATGTTCTTTCTTTAATTTAAACAGACATTAGCATTTGCTACCGATTTCTTTTTTGGAATAAACCAAAAAGTAGTATTTTACCCAAGTAAATAAATATTTCACTTACTTTATCCTGTATAAATGATTCATCAAGAAATCAGTTAATATCATAAGTATACACTAATAATTACTGTTTTTTATTATTCATTTTATTTAAACACATAAACATTGGTACAAGGAGGCAGCAAATAGATATGCGCTACATAGACCATTCAATTTGTGTGAGAGCTAGGATACTGCCCGGGTGCCCAAACGGAAGCAGGTGGTTTTCTTGGGGGGCCACACGCAGAGCCTCTGACCTAAAGGTCTAACCCACAAGGCAGTGGAGCGTCGTGAGGAGATGCAGTCCCATGGTAGCCGGTGACCAAGAAATTGGTTCATACACCAATTTTTTCTACAGGATACTGGAGCCAATGTGCACCATAGGTTTGGTTTGGGATCCGGTTAAAGCGCCGGACATTCGCTTTTCGTCTTCTCAATTTCATAAACAACACCCCCGCCACGAGAAGGCAGTGAGTAGGACTTCCCTGGTAGAGGCTGTATACGCGTGGCTATGTGAGAGCATTTCGAGAGGAAGGGCGGGCCCACCCCACTCTCGGCCATACCAGGACATTTGGGGGCAATTACTATGTAAGAAGGCATTAATTTAAAATTAGGACTTTTCAAAAACGAATTCACTTTCAGTGGTTTTATTGACATTCATAGCATGATCTGAACAGAAAAGAAAGTAAATGCAGACGCACACACACACAAACACAAACAAATATACATACATATGAAACTTGTATTATTGAAATCCAGTTGAAAATGTAAAAATTTGCTAAAACTTTGAGAACTGAAAGAAAATAACAAAAAAGAGACACCAATAAATAGTTAATTGACAATAAGAATCAAAGAGATAGCAACATCATTGTTAAGAGATATGATTAGGTCAGGTAAACAATTAGTAATAATAATAACAATAAATAATAATAGTGTCATGTTAAATATCACAATAAAATATGCAGAGGAGTTTCACAGTTGACAATTGTAAATTAGAGTTTATTCAATTGAATGAATAACATCAAGATGACTTGTAAATATAAAAAAAACATAATTCTATATAAAATAATAATAATAATAATAATAATGTACAACATAAGCCTTCAAGTGTATTTTTCTAAGGAATGAAATATTTAAGACATTACTCTCTCTATTTATTGCACAATTATAATGAAATGATTAAAAGATGAAAGAAGTTTAAATACACAGATCAACAATCATTAATCCATTTAAATAAATGCAATAATCATAGTGATTAAACGTTGTCAATAATGAATGAATGAAACAATAATAATAATAATAATAAACAATAATTGTTTATTTATTTATTTTTTAGAACCATAATTGAACTAACCTCATTTTCGGATCGAATCCCACCAATATTAATCTGTTATATATGCATATATATAGATATATTCATATTTCCTCATAATTTTATTATTACTATGATACACATATTTTATTAATATTTGAATGAAAACGTAATGTATTTCAATGGACAGATAACATTCCATTAAGATATAAATAGAGTTAAAGAGAAGTAATTCTTCCGTTGAAACTATAATTTGATAGGTTCATGATCATGATATGCAGTTGTAGACATTTCAGAATTATAAATCATACTTTTGTTAGATTAAGTGGGGATTTATTCCTCATTCCAAATGATCACTGAATTCTAATGGTTAATGAATTCAAAAAGTAAAAATATAAGTGGATTGTACAGAAAAAAAGAACTAATTACATGGAAATAATAAATAAAATGAAAAGATTTATAGGCTAACGAATACTTATAATCATTCTAGAAGATTTGTGGAGATGTTTCGATTTTATAATGAACAGATGTTTTCCACAGTGTGGGACTACTTAGCAGTGACCATCGACAATCTTAGCATTAGAACTAAAACTTAAGATCTTTGCTTTCACGCCTGAACGCTTAACCATTCTATTACTGAGTTGGCATCCTATGGTTTATATATTTAACTCCCATTAATTTATAATGTCGCGCAACCATCTGCCAATGTACTTGGACATAGTTGAACTCTATTTTTCATTAGAACTTCGGAATTACTTCTCGAAATTAGTCACTAGTGAGCATATGATTAATTACTATACGGGGCATTTTCTAAATCCTCACTGTTCAACAATCTTATAACAGAACGAAACATTTGTTCAATACATTCAGAGTTACAATGGTTACAATGGTATTAACTATGAAATAAATAACTATCAGCTACTATATACAATGAATTTCGTATAGAGAAATAAGTTTAAACTTGGAGATTAAACAAACTATTGAACCTTATC